GTCCCATGTAGCCTAGTCTGACCCTATGCCGCACTGGCCAGGTCTGCTTGGCTGAAACCTGGGAGGTGTTGACGAAGATGAGGGTCTGAGCCAAGTGGACCCTATGGTGATTACCAGGGTCCTTTGTTATGGTTACTGCAGCCCGGCTCCAAGCCAAACAGATCCTGCAGGGCTGCTGCCACATGAGATGTCACTTGGCTCAATAGCCTAAACCTTCCTTGGGAGCACCCCTCCGGAAACATTCCCAGGGAGCTAAAAGGTCGATCCGCCACTGAACTGAATGCATTTCTTAAGAAGAATTGCATGTTTGGGCTTACTGAATACAGATGCTTTACATACATAAACTCTTGCTTTGTAAAAAAAATGCAAAAATCACGTTCGGGATTCTAGTAATATACAAATGAGGACCACGCAAGATTAAACTGTGCTCACCCCTGGGCTAATCAGCATCAGTGCTGACTCTTCTGCTCTCCCCCCCCCCTTTTCGTGTGAATATTTGGGATTCACTCTGGGTGAAGGTTCTTGTCTGAACAGGATTCAACAAAGTCAATGGTGATGAAACCTGAGTCATCCTAACGTGTGCTCCTTGGAGACAGTCGGGGCGGCACTAAGGGGAGGAAGGGCTGCCGTGAGAAAATTTAAAGACAACGAAACTCACAAAAGAAAAAAACACACCTGTTAAGAGTTTTTAGGCAGTGGGTGAAACCAGCTGGCTTTAGAGCATCGTCCCAGAAGGAGAGAGGTGGGGGAATGCAGATGGGAGGCTGTTGTCTGTGCACGGACATAAAAGACACAAATCAGAGTGTGGAGCTTTTTGCCCTTGGAGATTTGGGTTGGATTTTTCCTTCTTTGCACTCCTGGCCACAGTTGAAGAAAGGAAAAAGCTGTTGGGTGATTCAGGCTGGTGCAATTGCTGTTTTTTTTTTTTTAAGTCCTCTCTGTAAAAGCTTAAAGAGACAAGTTTTGCTTTCAGTTTTTAACTGCAAATGAATTTGGGCCATGTTGTACAAGCAGCTTGCCATTAAAGGCTCATGAAGCTGCCTTCTTCTGTGTCAGGCCTTTGAGCTGTCAAGGACAGTATTGTCTACTCTGACTGGCAGCCGCTTTTCTGGGTCTTCGGTGGGAGTCTTTCATACTACCTATTACTCGATCCTTTTTACTGGAGCTGCCAGGGATTGAACCTAGGACCTTCTGTTGCTCAGTCAGATGCTCCACCCTGAGCCATGGCTAAAGAGATTAGGTCTCTCTCCCTCCCTCCACTGCTCACTGCTGCTCAGTCAGTCATATACCAGGGAAAATGGGGGAGGAGGTGTTGCCCCAGTGCCCTGACGTCATTTTTGGTGCAACCCAGAAGTAATGTCATTGCGTCAGGCAATGCTCTAGCATGTACCCAAAACTCTGTAGTTAAACCATAGAGTTTTGGGCAAATACTAGGGTGTTGCACCAATGCCAAAAGGGTAAGGCCCTGCCCCCTTCAATCTCCCACTGGTTTCCAACCATGGTCAGTTGGTAATCCAAGATGACACACATTCAGAAATATTAGATGGTGGTTGATTATGAACACCGATGGGGCCTGAAGCTTTCACACAATTGCTACTTATGAGGAACACCACTGCTGTAATATTTCATCCGTGTCTTTAGCAGGCATCGTCCAAGAAAGGGGGTGGGAAAAATGGGTGAATTCCTTGGAAGCAGGGCAAACTGGTACCTTTGAAAAAGACCCTCTGCTTGTACATACTACCTACAATCTGCTTTGCACCTTTGAAAAAGACCCTCTGCTTGTACATACAAATTTGCTCCTCCATAGCTATGGCCCAGTTTTGCATGTTCTACTGAAAAGATTATTCTGGAGGAGAAAATCTTCCCAGCCAGCTAGCCTTCTTAAAAGGCCTCTCCATGGTTGGTGACTCTCAGCAGCAAATCATAGTTCCTGTTTTGTTCTGGGATTTTGGAGTCAAGAGCGCTCTAGGGGAAAAGACTTGCCCCTGCGGCCACGGCACCTCTATGCAAGAGGGTGGGGTTTGGCAAAGAAGTATTTGTCTCCGTCCCCTTTGACTGTGCTCTGCTGCTTCTTGTTCACTTCCCCATCATCCTCACTGAAGATTTAAAAAAATCCTCAGAAAGTTCTTCCTGTTCTTTATCCTCACAGCAACCCTTTGGGGTGGTTTAGGCAGATAGATAGTGACTGGCTCAAGGTCATCCAGTGAGCTTTTTGGCTGAGCAGAGATTTAAACTGGTTTTCAAAATTCATCCAGTACATTTTATGCTTGTTCTCTGGAACAAAGGGAGATAGGATCCATTTGTTTGACCCAAGGTCTGAGAAGTTATCACAGAAGCTGGAAAAACTGGGTTTAACCAAATAAAATTAATTTCAGTGGGGATAAATGTAAAGTTCTGCATTTAGGTAGGAAAAATGAAAAGCATAATTATAGAATGGGGGAGACTTATCTTGGCAGTAGTATGTGCAAAAAGGATCTAGGGGTCTTAGTAGACCATACACTGAACATGAGTTATTTATTTATTTATTTATTTATTTCTTCAAATTTATACCCTGCCCTCCCCGCAAGCGGGCTCAGGGCGGCTTCCAATAAAATACCAGTTACTTTACATTAAAATACATAATATACAAAATACAAAATACAAAATACAATGTACAAATACCATAAAACATTATAAATACAAAGTGCAGGCGGCAGATTAAAATTCATTTCAATAATAAGTTGCAGAATCACTTGCCATTGCCCTGATGTCCACTAATGGCTTCTGTCATCAAGCCATCTCGTTGTTACTCCACAGGCCGTGTTGATGTAATGTTCTGCAGTAACCTGCAGTGCCATGAGCCTATAACAGCGGCGGCCCCTACTTAAATGCCTGGCGGAAGAGCTCCGTCTTGCAGGCCCTGCGGAACTGTAAAAGATCCCACAGGGCCCTGATCTCCTCCGGGAGCTCGTTCCACCAGGTCGGGGCCGCCACTGAAAAGGCTCCAGCCCTGGTGATGGCTAACTTAACCTCCCTCGGGCCAGGGATGGTCAACAGATTTTGCGACCTCGACCGTAGTGCTCTCTGGGGTATATACGGGGAAAGGCGGTCCCGAAGGTATGTTGGACGATATTTTTTGTCATCTTCTGAGTGTGGAACAGCGGTCACTGCGGGTGTGGAGGGGGAGGTATTTGTGAATTTCCTGCATTGTGCAGCGGGTTGGACTAGATGACCCTGGAGATCCCTTCCAACTCTCTGATTCTATGATTCTAAGCAAAAGCTTGATTGTTTGCTGTTCATGGCTGGTAATGCTATAAAAGCCTGAGGTGCCCTGGGGCCAGACACACACTCTCAGCCTAACCTACCTCACAGGGTTGTTGTGAAGAGAATGGTGTAAGACACTTTGGGTCCCTGTTGTGGAGAAAGGTGGGGTATCAGGTAAATAAATATATTCATACTTCATTTGAGGGGAGGAGTGTGGCCGTGTCACACATAAGGTCTCAGGTTTGACCCCTAGTAGGTCCAGATAAAATCAGGTAAGGAAGCCATGTGAGGGACCGTGACTTGAGACCCTGGAGAGGCTGCTGCCAGTCAGAGCAGACAAGACCGAGGGGTCTGACTCAGCAGAAGAGGCCGCTTTGTGGGTTCAAGGGAGGGGGCTGTGCCTCAGTGATACAGCATGACCTTTGTGTGTGTTCATGTGGCTAGGAGGAAAAGGAATAACTGTTGTTGTTGTTGTTGTTGTTGTTGTTAACACCGATTGTATATTTGTATGGCATAATAAGCAAGGAAATGGGTCCCCCTCAAGGAGCTTATAGAAGAGAGGATTTGGACAAGGGCAACCCTTGTTGTCCATCCCCCCCATCCCCCCCCCGATGCTTTTCAGGTGCTGAAATGGCTGTAAGAAGGTCTCTAAAATGGTGGCAGCATTCCTAGGACAGACCTGGGTATGCCAAAACATCTAGTGGTGCCCTGAGAGTGTGTAACTGGCCCAAGACCACCCAGCAAGTGCCATGATAGAGTAGAGATTTGAACTTGGTCTCCTAGATCCTAGCCCAGCACTCGAACCACTATATCATGCTGGCTCTCTCCTTACTTGCAGTATCTGAAGAAGAGGATCGCTTGGTGATTCTATGACTGTTCCCTGTTTAACCAGGGTTGTTGTTTCTTATTACCTATTGGTGTCTAGGGTTAAATTTTTTGGAGAGTGGAGTGGCAGTGGTGTTTGGGACACTTGATATCTTCTGACTTTTACGTTGCCATGGATTTGTTCCACACCTTTTGGGCGGGGTGTGATGTAAATCTCCAGAACCAAATAATCAGCTGAATGTTCAGCAAACAAGAGGCGAAAAGGGGAAACAAGCCCAGATGTGTTGTGTTCCTCCATTCTCAAGCCGTTGTTCCCCCTTGGATTTCATAATATGTCTGAGGGGCTTTTCATAATTGAGATTTTACAGTTGCGTCACAAGAATGTCATAAAGAGCAATCTATATAATCACCCTCCTGATGCACTTAGATGAAAGATGGTGAGAGAAAGGCTGGTTCCTCTGAGTTAACGGGGCCCTCTGAAGGTCCGAGACAGGATCTGCAGACTTAGAATTCTCTTTTTCTTGGGGGCTGTATGCAAAATTAGAATAGCCATGTGAGAGCAACAAGGTGTAGTGGTTAGTGTGTCAGGGTAGGATCTGGGAGGACCAGATTTTGAATCTCCATTGTGCCATGAGAGTTTACTAGATGAACTTGGGCCGGTCACAGGCCCTCAGCCTAACCTACCTCAGAGGGTTGTTAGGATAAAAGAAACAAAGGAGGGGCGAATGATAGGTACCCATTAGGGAGGAAAAGGGAATCATGTACCAATGAGAATAAGATCTCTGCTCTCACTGGGCATATCCGGTTCTTCATACCTCCCTTCAAGTTGGCTCATACATTTTCAGTGGCAATGAGAAAGAAAAGGTATGCTGATAAAAATGTCCCCTGAAAGATCTTGGAGATCAACATTTGCCCTTTGTGTTTCAACTCAGTTTCAGATCTGTGCGCCTTCTGAAGAATGATGGGATGGGCTTCCCAAAATACTCCTATGTGAATGAAGATGAGGCTTGGAAGAGCTACCTTGAGAACCCCCTGACGGCAGCCACCAAGGCTATGATGAGGGTCAACGGAGATGACGACAGTGTGGCCGCCCTGAGTCTCCTCTATGACTATTACATGGTATGAAATGCAACCAGCATTAGACCTGGAAATAACATTGACTGTCTCATTTGACGTTTCTTGTAGGACAAACATTGGACCCAGATGAGGCATTTCCACCCACAGAGCACCATTTTCCCACCTTCTTTGTCTTACAGCAACTCAAAATGCCCCCCCCCCCCGATTGTATTCCTGGGGGGTGCACTGTTTCATGGTTCTGCGGGGGGGGAAAGTCTGGAACATCATGCGCCTTGTGCAAAAATCCTTGCATCTGCAGAAACATTGTCTACACGTTCCAGACGGGGGGTGGGGGAGCTGGACAGAGAGTCCACAGAGCCCCCCTTCCCTTCTTTGCTTATGCCTCCATTTGCAACTACCAACCCATATGCCTGTGAATCGTTCCCCAGCCCCCTCTCACAAGCCCTCTCACAGCCCATGTTCATAGATTCCTGTACCACCCACATACCTTTTCCTATGCTGGGCAGTGTATACAGCTGGGAGCATGAAGGGTGGAGTGCTTGCAGGCAGGTCAAGCAAGTCAGTGGAGTTAGGGCATGCAAATCAGCAGCAGTGGGCACTGGCAGAAACTAGTGGGCTGTTATTAGGCTTACTGTTTGGCCAGGGGCAGCAGGCAACCTCTCACCCTGCCTTTTAGTCCCCTATCCTTGATAGTTTGGGCAGTAGGAGAAAAATGGGGTGGGACTTGGTACCAATGGTGACATTCTAGGATGCCTCTCAATCTCTTTGGTAAAAGATTGTAGAGACAGGTGGAGATTCATAGAGTATCATATGGAAGTAACTTCATATCTGTTTTCCTCCATCCAGAAGTGACATCACATCCTCAATGCTGCTGTAGAAACTTCTGCATTCTCTATGATAAAGACCATGGAGTTTGGTGAAATTTCTAGAGTATCATCCAGAAGTGACATTGTGTTTCTCCAGAATTACCACATCCCCAGGCACTGGCCCCAAAATCTCCCAGCATTTGCTGGTCTTGGGTTGGAAAATCCTAGCTGCCGTTGGTGTTGGTTGCAGGGAGCTGTACCTTATTCTTCCTTTGAGAAGTTCATTCTGTGTAGGAGTTCTCAGGTAGCCTCCCAAGCAATAACTGGTTGAATGCAGCCCTGTTCCACTTCAGGAATGCTGTAGGAAGTTTTTGCACTATTCTCTGGGCTCAAAAAAGTCCTGGTGGGAAAATGAAATATTTAAAAAGTGTACACTAGGCCTCTTAACAGTGCAGTCCTAATCAGAATTACACCCTTCTAAGCCCATTGACTTCAATGGACTCTGTTTAGAATAACACTGAAGAAGCCATTAACTGAGGTTCTCATCATACTCTTGGTATGTGAAGGAGTGGCACTGTGCATATGCTCCTTTCTGCATTTTGGGGTCCTTAGGAGGGGCCTTGCTTTGTACATCTACACCATCAGAGGTCTATTGGGTAGTTTGGGGACCTGAACATTTTTACTCCCAGTCATCACCTCATTACTCTTATGGGTCAATGAATGGCTTATCTACCACTACAAACTTATGTTGGTGTTATCCCACTAACTGGCTTGGCTCCCTCCACCCCAGATATCTAGAAACTGCAGAAGTATAATGTTGGCATATTCTGTCAAACGGCTGACTTGCGTAGTCCTGTGGTCCCCTATGTGATGCTTTCCTTCTCCCACAAAGCACAGAATCAGGATTTCATCCACTTCATTTGAGTGGGAGATGCTTTAGAACAGTCTAGGAGGTATTGTATCTACAGAGAACACCCAGTCAGAAACAGATACCTCCATTGTAGGAGGATGCGTGGCTTGCACACTCCCAACATTTTGTGACTAGACCCAGTCCCGCAAAGCACAGAATCAGTCCAGGATTTCATCCACTTCATTTGAGTGGGAGATGCTTTAGAACAGCCGAGGAGGTATTGTATCTACCCAATCAGAAACAGATACCACCATTGTAGGAGGATGCGTGGCTTGCACGTTCCCAACATTTTGTGACTAGACCCAGTCCCCATGACCGCCATTTTGTGGTGGGGCCCATTGTCTGTTCACAACATCCAAAAATTGTCCACGGGCTCAACAGTTTCTTTGTTCACACATGAAATCATTTTCACTCTGTATGGACAGGCAGACATCCTTATCTTAATCAGTCTTGTGTTTTGCTCATGTATAAGATATCTGCACAAGTAGACAGGCGTGGGAAGCTGGCAGGTAGGAGTCACTCCACGCGTGGAAAAGCATGAGCATTGGCAAGGAAGATGCAGACAAAAGCAACATTGCTCTGCTAGCATGAAATATCGGCCTTCCATCAAATTAATCAACATACGTGGCAGTGGAGGGCCCAACATACATTGGCAGTGGAAAACCAGTCCCAGTGTATGGTTCCTTCTTATGGAGACAGTGTTTCCTTTTTCCCTGAGCAGGTTCCTAAGGAAAAGAGGATTCTTCCATCAGGAACTACAGGACGCAATGAAATCGGGAAGAGGTGAGAGAACCAGGGGAAACATTTATATGTTTTGATAAACAAAGTAAGAAAAGCAATCCCAAATGCTTTCATTTACTTAAAATTATTTGGCAGAGAAATCGACACTTTAATGATGGTCTGGGCCTGGCTGGAGCAATGGCACACGTGCCCACAGAGAGGGCTCCGAGTGCCAGCTCTGGCACCCGTGCCATAGGTTCGCCACCACTGCCCTACACTATACTGGTTGTGAAAGGTGTTTTGTGGGTTAAAAATGCTTCAGAAAATGGTTCAGCATCTCCTTTCATCTGGCCTGAGAAGGATTGAATTTCACCCCATGTCCTGTTTCCTACCCCACCCCCACCCCCCAAAGCTTGCAAAGGACACCGAGAAACTTGGAGCCTTTTTGTGGTCTTTCTAAATTTGCAGTGAAGGTGATTAGCCGGCTTTTGTTTCAACCGCTTCCAAAAATGGGCTGTGTTTTCCCTTTCATCCTTTTTGGCTTCCATGGCAGCCAGATAACCCTACCAGAATAAGTTAACGGTCGCTCTGGTATTTCTCAGTTCAGTTCCACTTCCTGGACTCTGTGTACCTTTAGCTATGTGCTGGTTTTTTATATTCAAAAATAAATGTTCTATTTTTAAACTGTTCCCCTTTCAGTGAGTGTGTAAGGCTCCTCCCCCCCCCTCATTTTTTGGCCTGCGAGGGCCATTGGGTAAACATGGGTAAGGCCAACTTCTAGATAGCAGCCCTAGGAGGCAGCATCAGGGGAGGCCCTTTTTGACTATGCTCTGTTTATTGGCCTCCAAGGCAACTGGTCAGCTGCTGTGTGAAGCAACATGCTGGACTAGATGGACCACTGGTCATTTTTTCGATTCAGTCAACTTCAGTACTTTTAAAGGAAGCAATAGCTTGGATCCACTGGAGTGTTCTTGTGGACTGGAATGACTTGCCGCTGTGAAGCATGACTTCCTCTCCTTCTCCTTCCCCTGCCCGCTGCGCCCCCCCCCCCAATGCTCCCTGAAATTTCGGTGGACATTTTGAACTACAGCCAGGGAGTGGGGAGAGAAATTCGCACTGTAGGTAGAACTCACCCTGACCTGGATGGCCCAGGCTAGTCTGATCTGGCCAGATTCTTGGAAGCTAAGCAGGGTTGGTCCTCATTAGTTTTTGGATGGGAGACCACCAAGGAAGCCAGAGGCTGCTATGCAGAGCCAGGCAATGGCAAACCATCTCTGAATTTCTCTTGTCTTAAAAACACTACGGGGTCGCCATAAATCAGCTGTGACTTGATGGCACTTTCCACCACCACCAGATGGAAATTATTCCATCTCTGGAACCATGCCAGTGGATCTAAGCCGCTGTCTTTAATCAGAAGACAAGAACAACTAAGTCCAGCTAAAGTTCTGAAGTCTGAGCATCCATGTTTGCTCAATGTATTTATCTTCATCATCTCTCTTCTACCACCTCTGCCAAAGGTGTTCAAGGAAGCTTACAGACCAATTAAAACAATTAACATACAGTGTAAAAGAATCACATTATAAAACTCTAATGATCAATTAACTGTAAAACTATACAATTCCACATAGGGATGGGCACGAACCACATTTTTGCTGAACCACAAACCTGTGCAAACCGGAAGGTTGGTTCACAAAATGCACCAGTTCGTATGGGTTTTTGACCCCTTCTTTCTGCTCCACACTGCTTTTCATGGAGAGCAGAAAGCAGGAGTTTAAATAGCTCTGAGCCATTTAAGCCACTGTTTTCTGGTCCCCGCAGAAAGTCATAGAGAGCAGAAAGCAGTGGTTTAAATGGATCCGAGTGGCTCAGCTGTTTAAAGGGGCTTTCTTGGGCAGTGAGCCCCAGAGACTGCCTTAAAAGTTCATGGAGGTTTGTGGCTGGTTGCAGTTCATGAACTTCAGTTCACAAACCACGAACTGGCCAAAATTCATCATGAACAAAGGTTTGTGAGCCAGTTCGTGCCCATCCCTAGTTCCACATATGTCAGTTGCTCTGTATGGATGCTGTTCCTGATTGATTTATTATTATTATTATTTTATTTATAGCCTGCCCATCCTGCAAGTGGGCTCAGGGCGGGTAACATCATGTAACAATACAGTTTAAACATTTAAAACACAGTAATAAGCATTAAAACAAATCACAATTCAGATAAGTCAACTGGTTGTGGGAGGTTCCCTGGTATATTATTTGGGTTGGTAGGTGAGTGACAACAATCTCAGGGAGGCCATATATGGACACCCACTGCCTCAGCCAAAAGCCTGGCAGAATAGCTCCATCTTGCAGGCCCTATGGAACTGAAGAAGATCCCGCAGGGCCCTAATCTTGACAGGGAGCATGTTCCACCAGGTAGGGGCCAGGGCAGAAAAAGCCCTGGCCCTGGTAGAGGCAAGAGGAACATCCTTCGGGCCAGGGACAACCAGGAGGTGTTGGTCTATGAAGAGTAACGCTCTTTGGGTTGTAAATGGGAAGAGGCAGTCCCTCAGATATGATACATATCAATAGATTATCTGCAGGCCCTTCAATCTAAACATCCATCTGTATTGAGCACTTACTTATAGGTATAAATGCATGTAGGAGGAGATGTATGACAGGCTCCGTGTATCACCTGCCAAGGTTATGGAGAATGTTTGAAGACTATTCAATATTTTTTTAAAAAAAAGATAGAATGTTTGAAGATGTATGACTGTTGCCAGGAGATAACCTGTGACACCAATCAAAACCCTGGGGAAACAAGAGGGTGGGACAAGGATGTAAAGGGTGGTATGCAGGAGTGGTTGCAGTAAAACACGCTGCATCTCATGGATCGGTTTCTTTCCCATGCCTTCCTCTAGGCACTGCCATGGGATGGAGTATGAACCGGAGATTTCGTCCTTTGAAAGTTCTGCTCACGTCATGAAGCTTCTGGCCGAAAATGTCTCCATGAACCAGGAATATTCTGACCTGCCCAAGAAGAATGGCTTGGGCTTGGACGGCATTCCCCCTCCTCACAAGCCGCCCGCACTGCCCCCTGGCACGAGCAAGCTGGAGACCAGTCCAGACAACTACATGATAAATTCGGGGGACATCTATGACAACAGTGCACTCAGTTCCATCTTCGACACAATCCACGTGGCCCTTCCGCAACAGAGGTGGCAGCCAGACAGCACCTACAAAGAGGACCCTCAGGAGGTTAGAATTGCAGGCTGGTTTTGCAGCCATTTTTCTTGGTGGTTTATTATTTTGTAAATAAACTGATGACCTTCGGGGGGGCGGGGGGAGAGAAAATCCAACATGCTTTGAAATGTGACCCAGAAGACTTGGTGGAATCTGGATTGATAAGCTGGGTTTGTCAAGCTTTCCCAGAGACAACCCAAGTGGTTCTGCCCATTTCTGTGCAGGATGTGACACACATGGTGTATGAAAAGGGAGCAGTACAAAATGGGAGTTGTACTAAATAGGTTGTGCAGAGGGAGTGTCATTTACATGCCATGTTAACCGTCATGGAGATTCAAGGGATAATTTTTTTGTTTGAACTTTGGTTGGGAAGCCATTCTTGATGTTCTTTCTCTTTCTTTCAGTTGTCTTCACCCCTTGCACGTAGGTTGGGGTGGACCAGCTCTTTACCTTACTGGGAAAGTTTCTAGAGGACTGCTGAGCCAAAGGGCCTTGGTAGCACTGCCAGCACTGTAGAGGCCAATTAGCTCAGATGACCAATCCTACACCCATTCTCATAGTCTCCAAGCTAAGCACCCCTGTGATTCTGGCAGTCCTACACATGACCCCTTGGCTTCCTTGCTCCAGGGCTGTTCTGATTTCCTAGTCCATTTCTGACTTCTATTCCTCTGCTGTGGAGCACAGCAAGCTTATTGCCCTCACCTGTCACATTGATTGACTCAGCCACTGGACAGAACTGGAGCTGCCACCAGATAAGAAAATAAGGAGATAGAGGAACACACACACCCCATAAATGCTCTCTCTCTGTGTGTCTACAGTGGATACATGAGTTTGTGTAATATGATGGCTGTTGTTTTTTAAAAAACAAATCTGGTAAAAATGTTGACTCAGTCTGGGTGAGGAAAATAATAGGGTTTGGGTGAAGGCAGAGGTCATTTCGGGGGGGATCGCGGGGGATCGCAGTTCCCCCGGGTGAGGTACGGGGGGCGGGGCACATGACGAAGCCCCGCCCCCTGCTTCCGGCCACCCCGCTTCCAGCCCTCATTCAGCCAGGAGGAGGCAGGAGAAGAGGGAGGGTAAGTTGCTTCCTCCCCGCCTCTCCCCACCCCTGCCTGCCTGGGGCCAGGGAGGGCCTTCGTGGGGCTTCCTTGCACTCCCGCCGGCCTTGCAGGTCCACCGCCGGGCCTCTCATGGGGCTCGGCAGTGGAGCTGCAAGGCCGGCGGCGGTGGCCAGGACCGTTGGGGGCGGGGTGTGTGGCCTTATGACACACTTCCGGTGATGTCAGGGTGTGTGGCCTTATGACACACTTCTGGTGATGTCAGGGTGTGTGGCATATGCTAATGAGTTATGCTAATGAGTTCCCCTAGCTCTTTTTCTACTAAACGACCCCTGGGTGAAGGAGAGATCTCCAGTCAAAACAGTATAGTGGGCCCTGTTTAAATGAGGGTGCCTGTAAAGCTCCCTAGGAGCTGTTCAGCCAACTGTCCTTTCCACATATCTGCTTCATGTCCAGAGTAGGAAGAAAAGAAATACAGTTTCCTATTAAGTCCTTAGTTTACTGGGACATTTTCTGACCAGGAAGTGTTTTGGGGTAGTTCATAATTCATAGTTCATAAATTGGATTGCTCATAATTTAACTTACGCTGCCTAGAAAAGCTCCCTCTCTTATATATAGTGATTAATCACCATTTTGACAGTAGGTTTTCTGGGATTTTCTCCAAAGCCCTGTTTAAGAAACACAAGAGTTGGTCTTGAGAATTGTGCCTATGAAAGGCACAGCAGCTGGGCTGCTGAAGAGAAAAGTTTCAAAAATTAAAAAAATACTCCGTCTGAGTTGGGACCAGTGTTCCCTCTAAGCTGAGTTTGTGTGAGCTAGCTCACCATTTTTTAGCCTTCGGCTCACACATTTTTGTCTCCGCTCAGGAAGGAGGGCTCCAGAGCAAACTGATTTATGCAGCAGCCAAATCGCTCACTCACAACTTTAATGCCGGTAACTCACAAAGGAGAATTTTTTCTCACAAGACTCCACAGCTTAGAGGGAGCATTGGTTGGGACGTGCCTTTTAGGGGGTCTCTTAGGATCTATTTTATTTTCTTGTAATGGGATGGCAAATTGTATGTTTCCCCTCCCACATGAGGCAAAGAGCTGTTCCACGGGGGCCAATGGAGGGTGTAGAAATGGCATGGGTGGAGACTAGACTCCCCACCACCACCACCACTGCCACCACCACCTCATACACAATCCCAATCAGAGTTTGTGGCATCTAAAGGCTGCTATTTACTACTACAAAAACACACACACACAATTACAAATCTTCCCATTCCTCACCTGGTTTCACACTTAGAATAGAATTCATATAGAGCTGTCCTTGTTTTGTATTTCTGCAGTCTGTGATCTTCAATGATATTCTCAAATCCCAGACGGAAGCACCATGCTCAGAAGCTTACTCCACTGAAGATACCAAGAGGTAACAAAAAAAAAAATATGTGTGTGTGGGGAGGGGGAGACGACAGCATGGCGCAAAGCCTCCTCCATTGTGGCACCAGATCTGGTATCTTTTCAGAGACAGATGAACACAAATTTATTTTTCCAGATTTTTAAGTGAGGGTTCTGGTCTCTGTCTCTCTTTTTCACCCCTTCATCCTGTGATTATCTTGGCTTTTGTTTGTTTGTTTTTAAATCTTCTGGTCAATTTCTGGGTTTTTTTCTTTAATAATTTTAATGCTTCTTGGTTTTTAAATTCTTCTGTCTTTGTTTTTTTTAAAAAAATAGAATTTATATTCCATGGGAGTCTTAGTTACTTGAATATGCTGCTAGATGACTCAGGAGTCAGTTCTGTGGCTGAGGGGAGGTATACAAATGTTTTAAATGAATAAGTAAAAGGAAACAAATGTTTGTTTGCCTGGTCATCTGTAGTATGTAAGAATTGTCCTGGACAACTAGGCGGGGAAACCTGATACAAGTTGGCTCTTCTACATGTTTGTATGATTATTAAGCTATTGAAGCATTTTTTTGGGTCTAGTGTTCCCCAAGAGGGAAGAAGTCACACCTATTCGCACCACAAAAATACACTGCGGCTTCCTGGGTCGATTCTCTGCGAGCGTCTTTCAGAGTAAAACTGTTCTGTTCACAATCCATTTTTTAATTGTTCCATTCAAGTGACTTTGAATATACACTGGGATCCCCCAAAGCGATTCACGTCAAATCGGGTGACTCACCCATGGCCTACCTCAACAAAGGACAGTTCTACCCAGTCACCCTAAGGACTATTGGAGACACCAAATGTTTACACTTGACTTCCAATAAAGTGAAGGTAAGAAGTTACTACCCATACACTACACATACAACACATTGCTGAGCCAGCTGCTATAGAGATCTCATTTTACCTTTACCTTTACAGAGAAGCCCAAGCTGTACAACCAGCCCCTGTAAAGTGCTGTAAAACAGTTATCTGTTGATGGCTTTGATTTTGCAAAGAAATGTATACATTAAATCCCATGTATCAGTGACTTGAGACCTAAACTGGCTTTCCCTTCCTTTTCTAGAGTGTTGTGATGGTCGTTTTTGACAATGAAAAGATCCCAGTGGAGCAGCTCAAGTTTTGGAAGCATTGGCATTCCCGCCAACCCACAGCTAAACAGAGAGTCATTGATGTCGGTACGGAATGGAGATACTTTGGCTGGGGGAAGGCCTTCTTGCCTGGGAGGGAAAGGGAAAAGATTGAAAACTCCCTTTTATCAATGGGGTTCAGTCCTCTTGCAGTTCTTGGTGGTATTCAGTCAAACTAGTTACCAAACTAGTTACCAGTCATATTTCCACAAGTGCCTCCAGCCCTGGCCCCTTCATGTAATAACCCCCTGAAGATCCTTGTTTGGTGCCCGCCCTCCTCCCTTTTAGGTGCTGAGAGGAAATGTGTTTGTTTGTTTTTTAGCCAGGCTTTTAACTAGGGTTTTAAAACTTTTAAAAACTTTTTTTTGCAATCTGCTTCTAGCCTGAAGACTATTATGGGATTGTTTAGGCTTCTAAATGTGGGTTTTTATTTGCTTTAACACTTGGGGGGCAGGGCAGGTTATGCTTCTTAAAAATCACTTTTATGTTCTGGGTTTTATCGGCTAAGATTTTAACGGTTGCTAAAACTGTTTTAATGATTTTAAATTATTTTTAACATTTTATTTTATTTTGCAAGCCATCTTGAGCAGGTCTCTGCTGCGATGGCATATACATTTTTAAAAAATAAATGAAAATTGCTAAACCCTCCTTTCCCTGAGTATATGCGCCCAAGCTCCTCTGGATTTTGAGCTTTGCTTTCAGGTCGAGTTTAGGAAAAGTTTTTTAATGGTTTAGCAGGGTGGGGTTTATCACTCTTCTTTAATTCCAAGAACTAGAGCTTGACAATTAGAAGAGTCATTATGTATTTAATGCCTTTCAGCTGACTGTAAAGAGAATTTCAATACTGTGCAACATATCGAGGAAGTAGCTTACAACGCCTTGTCCTTTGTCTGGAACATTCATGAGGAAGCAAAGGTATGACACTAGAACCTTACTAAGGACAAGTATCCACACACACCCTTTACTACAAAGCTGTTATCTGTTTTTTAAAATTATAATGGTCATGGTTTCTCACTCAGAACCATAGGAAATATAGCTTGAGAGTCCAAACAGTTCCCACCCAAACTGCAGTCCTCATGGTTCCCTAAGGAGACAGAATAAAAGTTTAAAATTGCTTTAGGTCTGTAATGCAAATGCACCATTTAGTTCGGCCATTTTATTTTTACCCACAGCCCATTATGGCTGCGGTCACACAGAGCATTAGCCACGCTACAGAGACAGAAGATAGGCGGATTTTCCGGGCGCGATCAAACCGCAACATTTGGGAAGCTTCCCACCGAAGATGCGCCGTAAAAAACTAGTACCTCCAAGGTACTAGTTTCCGGAAACCGCGGGGCAAGGGTGGCAGCTTTGAAGGGTTTCTGCCCTAAGCTCGTGGCATCCGGCGCCTCCCCCATGTCCCGTCGCGAAAAGGTTTTTTTTCCCCCAAGTCTCCACGGGATGCACAAAAGCACCCAATGGCGCATGTGCACACTTCGGTTTAAAAACAAAATACAACCCCCGCCGCGCCGCTTCTTTGCCGCGCCGCAGGATTGACGTATGATCAGCACTTCCCCCCGAACCATGGGACGTCGGTGGGACATTTGATCCAGTGGCCGCGCAGTAGTTCACTCCAGGGCAAACAGCCATGCTTCCCCCCTGCGATATCCGGCCCGTGTGACCGGGGCCGCGGATGAACAAATGTGAACCTGGCTTAGAAGCAAGCCCAAAACAGGTTATGTGAATTAACCTGGGCTTTCTCCTTACAGGCACTGTCTGGAGCAAGTGACACATGCTTAGGCCTGGGATTAGCCCAATTCCCATTCATTTCAGCACAAGTAAACTTTGCTGTCTTGAGAATGGCACCCCTCCAAGCATGTTCCAATGGCTCCTATGCACATGGGCAGCCTCTCACATCCTTATGATTGCTGTACCATACTCATCTCTTTCTGTCTACCACTGCTATATGTGGTCAAACTATGGTTGCCAACTGCAAGGTATGGCCTGCGGATCTCCTGGAATTAACAACTGATATCCAGGTAATAGAGATCAGTTCCACTGGAGAAAATGGCAGCTTTGAAGGGCAAACTCTGTTGTGTACCTTATATTCTAGGTGAAATGATTCCCAAATTCCCCTGTCCACAGGAACCACATGCAAATCTCCAGAAATTTCCTAAAACAGAGTTGGCAGTCCTAGGTCAAACAGGTTTTGCAGGTTTTGACAACATGATAAAAACCTGCAAATCCTGTTTGACCAGAGACGATAATAGAATAAGTCTGCATATGAGAATATACCACATTTGCTTCTGTGGGGGGGGGAATCCTCCCCACTATTTGTCTCCTGCTTGAGAAAGTTAGGATTATGCAAGGTCTTCCAAAGAATCCATGTCTGGACTGAAACTTGGGGATGGGGGTCACAGTTCTTTTTCTTAATCACTAAACTACATAAGCTACATTGCACCTGCAGTTGGGGAGGGGGGAAGAACTCTGCCACAATTTTCAGTTCACATAAATGGCCTCTTCTCTTTGAAATGAGTGATGTAGTGCAAAGGTTACACTCTTGTAGAAACCTGAACCATGGCCTTCTTGCAGTTCTGTGTTGCAATAGGCTAGAGAGCTTCCCAGCTCATGGCCCACTATGTCAAATGCCTTCTTTCCTGCTACCTATTGTGTCCTGCCAGCTTCCAGGGTTTTGCAGTCCCAAACAGGCAATGAAAATGATGGTTTATTGAGCTATGGGTGACCCACCATGCCAATGTGTTGGGCTGCCTTCAGCTTGGTAGATTACCGTTGTGTTGCAGCCTGCAAACAAACCTGTATTGCACAGGGAAGTCCAAGCAGAGAGATAATACTTACGAAAAATGGGATCTCAGTGAGACCTCTTCTTTCTAGCCCAAAGACAACCTTGCCCCTCTTTTTGGCTGTTTTTATCTTTATACAGTTCTAAAAGGTTACAAATTGTCTCTGAGGCAACATCCTGTCTCTCTCTCCCCCCCCCCCAAACATCCCAGGCATGCAGCTAGTCCTGTGGGGCACTGAGGTGAGATGTGATTTTGTACTTACCAGAAAGATTGCCTCCTTTCTGGCCTGGGGTGGTTTTAAGGTTTAGGACTTTAGAGATGTGAAAAGTTTCTGAGTTGCTGTTGGAGGCCCTTTTTCAGCACCTCCTGCTCTTCTCCTTCCCACCTCTGAACTTCAAACAATACTTATTAGTTTCTCTGTGCAAGGGAGCCACAGAGACACCCCCCCCCACCTTCCCAGTCTTTCTTCAACTAAGAAAACAGCTGTGGCATTTCTATTACTTTAGTTTAGCCAGTGCTGACTTCTTCTGCTGGGGTGGTCTGATGAATACCACAACATCAGTGCTGACTGAACATACACCTTCTGGTTCCAGAGTCTAAATAGTAAAGTTGAGGTGAAGAAGCAGAAGAAGGAATCAACTCCTGCTTTTGCATTTCTCACACGGAAAGACGGCTGTTTAAAATGTTTTGAAACTGTGTGTTGCTAGTTTAAACTCTGAAAACCTAAAGTGTGACTCTGCTCCTAGCCCTGGGGAATTCACAGGCATCCTGTTCTAAGCGCTTGCTGAAAGAGATTTCCAATTAGAGAAGCAAAAATTCCACCTTGGTTGGGAGAATGTTCCCCAGGAGGATTCATGCTAAAAAATCTCTTTTGGAAATGGCTGCCATAGCCCTCCTCCCTGTTTCATTAGTCATGCCAGTGTAGCATCACCTCTTCCCATCTTTGGCTATGCCGTCTTTGGAGGACAGGTATCTTTTGAGCATGTGCAGGGTACATTTCCTTCACCAACGAGCAACTACTGAATGCCTCTGCACCATTAGAATTAAGCAATGGAGCTTCTTCCTTCCTGAATCTCAACAGCCCTCTTTTTAGAACTGAATGCTACCCCCACCCTGTCTAGGGCTACCAAATCCCGCACTAGAAATTCCTGGAGATTTGGAGGTGCTGCCTACAGAGGGTAGAGTTTGGGAAGGAAAGCCAAGCAGGGATGTGATTCCATACCGTATCCTTTCTGAAGCTGCCATTTCCTATGGAGAGCTGATCTCTGTAGCCTGGAGATTAGGAGAACTCCAGGCCCTATCTTGAGGTTGGTAACCCTACTTTGATGGCCAGTTGTCCAGTCTCCATTGTGCCCAGTTGCTTCTGCATTGGCAAGGTGGTGCATGTGGCATCTGAGCAATTAATTTGAGGATATCATAGTGCCAGGAACCTGCTGGAGGTTAGTATATATTTCAGACCTGTGTTGTTGAATTATGAAATAATCTGTTTCTCCTTGCAGGTGTTTATTGGGGTGAACTGCCTGAGCACAGATTTCTCCTCCCAGAAAGGTGTGAAGGGTGTCCCTTTGAACCTCCAAATAGACACTTATGACTACAGCAGTGGGACAAACCGACTGGTCCATCGAGCTGTTTGCCAGATCAAAATATTCTGCGATAAGGTAGAGTCAAACTTTGGGGACAGGTTTCCTGTGGAGGCTAGCGGAACAGGGCTGAAGGAAGAATCAGGGTCTCCCATTGTGGCTTCCTAAACCAAGATGTTAGCTTTTATGAGCATCTTTGCAAGAACTCATCTGCTAGCTATGCTGAAGATTTAAAAAGGCAAGCAAATTAAACTGTTTAAGAGTTCAGTTGTAAATTAGAAATAAAATGTGTACACTCGTGAGCAGTGTTCCCTCTAAGCTGAGTTAGTGTGAGCTAGCTCGCAGTTTTTTAGCCTCTGGCTCACACATTTTTGTCTCAGCTCAGGAAGGGATGGCTCCAGAGCAAACTAATTTATGCAGTAGCCAGATTGCTCGCTCACAACTTTAATGACAGTAGCTCACAAAGTAGAATTTTTGCTCACAAGACTCCACAGCTTAGAGGGAGCATTGCTCACTGAGTCAGTTTGATCCAAAATGCATCAGGAGTAGCCAGCTGCTCCAGATTGTTGATTTTACCTTGGCTGTTTTTGACTGCTTTGCAAACAGTATGAGTTGAAATAGATATGTGTCAGTGCGGATCTTTGGCCTGAATTTAGAGGTCCTTGTAACTTACTCTCCTTCTGATACTGCTTGCATGGTTATAACCCTACCCCAGTCCCCGTAATCCCCCTTCTTCTGGATATGTCTTTTTGACATTCATTTTCCTTCATACAATAATATTGGAGTCAGTTTTTGCAGTGACTGCCTGGTCGAAATTGGTCCTTGCTTCATAGCGAGAGTGTTCTGTGGTGAGGGCATCATGGATATCTTCTCAGTATTATTGCACAAGAGGAGGGGCTATGCAATGGCCTGCCTCCATTTGCAAAGCACCCCCCCCACCCCACCCCACCCAGTGCTGTGATTAGGGTTATCAACCTCAAGGTGGGGCATGCAGTTCTCAGAATTGCAAGACTACAGAGATCAGTTCCCCTGATGTAAATGGCAGGTTTGGAGGGCAGAATCTATGGTGTGCCATAGAGTCTAGCAGAAACAGAAATCCTGCAGTGACATCATGTCCCCACTGATCTCCCTCCCCAGGCACTGGTCCTAAATCTACAGGAATGTCCCAAGCCATAATAGAAACTATCTATAATTTGAAGAACAGTTGAGAGGTGGGGCGAGACCAGTGGTTAAGCTCCCCAGCACCGTGGTCCCCAGGGGAAGGATTAACAACAGAGCCCAAGGTATCCCTGATGCATCTCTTGGCTTTTCCCTAAAAGGGAAATTTTGTGGCCAGATTTGGGTCAAGATCAAACAGGAAGCAAAACCTGCCCACAGTCCTCCGTGGTGATGATCCGTTGCTTCACAGCAACACCTGGGGCCATACAACAACAGAGCCCTTTCTTTGTGCGTGCATGTGTATGTGTTTGTGTGTGCATACAAATGTGTGCAGTGTTTCTCTGTGTGCAGTTCTCCCCACACACACATAGTCCCTGTAATTTATAGGCTTTCTGTTTGTGTTAGAAATGTCACAAGTACTCAGGAGCATGCAGTTTGTGGCAAGGAGCTCATACAAACATTTTGTCTGAGACTCTCTGACTTTTCTTCCCAGGGAGCAGAGAGAAAAATGCGGGACGATGAACGCAAACAGTTCAGGAGGAAGGGGAAATGCCTCGATGCGAATAATAACGGTTAGTGTGACTGAAGCCGGTGGGGACTACTTCTGGATGCTGCCATGCGGGGAAGGATGTTTAGGGTTAGGGGATGCTGCTGGCCCGGGAACCAGCAAATAATAACAGTTAGTGTGACTGAAGCCGGTGGGGACTACTTCTGGATGCTGCCATGCGGGGAAGGATGCTTAGGGTTAGGGGATGCTGCTGGCCCGGGAACCAGCTCTTAAACGGCAACACTAGTGTTACAAAGACCTTGTGGTGGCTGCAGGGACTAAGTATCAAATGTATAATCGGAGTTTTGTTCCTCCCAGATACTCAGGGGCTTGATTCTGCCTGTGCGCCAATGGAGGACAGGCTTCAGTCCCCCCCCCCCATGCCCTTTTTGCATTCTGAAACTGCTTAGGACTAAGTATCAGATGTATAATGGGAGTTTTGTTCCTCCCAGATAACAGGGGATTGATTCTGCGTGTGTGCCAATGGAGGACAGGCTTCAGTTTCCCCCAAGCCATGCCCTTTTTGCATTCTGAAACTGCTTCACTGCAAATATCACATACTCATAATTTTTGCAATAGTTACAGGATGTGAAAGCAGCAGCACAGGTGGGGTGGGCAGGCTGAAGCTCCTTCTCCACCTGCATCATGATCAGACTGGGACTGCCTGCATCTGGGAGACCAACGGGAGAATTTGCACTGCATATCCGATACATATATTTTTAAAAAAATTATTATTGGATTTATAACCCGCCCTCCCGGAACGGGCTCAGGGCGGCTGACAAATGAGGCACGTATGCCAAAATTAAAACAACTAAAAAGATGCTGTGGACATGTGAATTGGCCCTATGATGGTCTTTTAAATAAAATGCACAATGCTTTAAGACCCTCACTTGTAGCAAACCTGCTTTCTGGTTGTAGATGATATATTTATTTGTTTGTTCAGGCTGCTTTTCTGCCCAATGGGAACACAAGGAGGTTTCTCCCTCCCTTCCTCCATTTTATCCTCATAATAACACCCCTGTGATGTAGATTAGTCTAAGAGAGAGCTGGCCCAAAGTCCCACAGGGAGCTTCCATGGCAGAGTGGGCTTTTGAACCTGGGTCCTAGTCCACACCATGGCCATAACCAGCGCCAGGGGCTGTGCCTCCTATCGAATCTGCAGCGCCCCCCACTCCACACTCCAGCTGGTTCACCACACTGCAAAGATGATCTGCTCCTAATCATTAGCTAAAGGTCTGCTGGATATGTTACACTGGCCAGTGGAGATAAGCCTGACCCCAGCTGGGATTGAAATGCAATTTGAAAAACTTGCTTCTTTGTTCTTTGCTATGTCAAACTGAGCTCCATCCTCTGCCTCCCTCCTGCACACCTCCTTTCACTTTGGGCGTCTGGTCTTTTAGACTGCAAGCCGACTGGCGAGGCCTGTGTCTTCATTGAGATTAATGAGCAGTGCCAAGTTACTGTAGGCACTCTAGGAATTATTATTAATAATATTGCCAGACAGAGGCTCCTAAACTCTGTTCTCGGTTTTTTTTTCTTTGTTCCCTAGACACATATAATCATTCTTGTCTGAGAATGAGATCTTGCAGGTTATACCAACTCCCTTCCCACGCAAACTCTCCAGGCCTCCTTTCTCTTATCTAGTCTCTTGAAAGCCAAGATTGCTTTATTTCTGAAGGCTTTAGGGGGAATGGGCTGATCAGATTATATTAGTCATTCCGGCATTCATTCTGACATTTTTATTTGTTGGCTCTCAGTTTATGTGTTTTGTTTTATGTTTGTTGGGGAGGGGCATGCCTGCCTGCTAAATTTCAGTTTTGATTTTTCAAACTGCTTTATGACTTTGACTGCTTCCACATGGAAAGGATTCTCCGTAGACGTCTTGTTGCTGTTGAAAATGCAGAGGTGTTCATAGTGGCAATGGAGCACTCACACAGCTGTTTTTTTCCTGAACTTTCCTGGCCTCAGCTGCCCTTCTCCTCTCACCACTGGAGGGCTGTTTAAAAAATCAGGAACTGCTAGATTTCTATAGCATTATGACTATCTAGGGTGATGATCTACTAGTTTCCAGGGCTTTTTTTTGTAGAAAAAGCCCAGCAGGAACTCATTGGCATATTAGGCCACACCCCTGACCGCACAGCTCATTAGCATATTAGGCCACACACCCATGTTACCAGAAGTGTGTTCATCCAGCCACGCCCACCTTTTGCTTCTTATTCTGTTGACCTTGCTTGTGATCAAAACCCAGGGCTTTTTTTGTAGCAGGAACTCCTTTGCATGTTAGGCCACACACCCCTAATGTAGCCAATCCTAATGAGTTTCTGCTGTTGGGTGTTGCCTATTATGCTAATGAGTTCCTGCTGGGCGTGGCCAACTTGGGAGCCAGCCGGAACTCCATTCCTGTGTGTTTCTGCCCAAAAATAGCCCTGCTAGTTTCCCACTTTGATGACTTTTTTTAAAAAAAACAAGTCTCTAGCTCTTTTAATTATGGCGTTATAAGGGAAGATGTAAAGTGTCTTGCAGAACTCAGAGGTCATTTCGGGGGGAAACGCGGGGGATCGCAGTTCCCCCGGGTGAGGTGTGGGGTGGGGCACATGACAAAGCCACACCCCCTGCACCCGGCTGCCCCGCTTCCGGCCCTCATTCAGCCAGGAGGAGGCAGGAGAAGAGGGAGGGTAAGTTGCTTCCTCCCCGCCTCTCCCCACCCCTGCCTGCCTGGGGCCAGGGAGGGCCTTGGCGGGGCTTCCTCACACTCCCGCCGGCCTTGCAGGTCCACCGCCGGGCCTTATGATGTCAGGGGGTGTGGCATATGCTAATGAGTTATGCTAATGAGTTCCCCTAGCTCTTTTTCTACGAAACGACCCCTGGCAGAACTATTTAGAAGGTTGAAAGGTAAAAGCTGGGGGGAAATAGTGGACTGGGAGAGCTAGTGCAGTGGTTAAAATGTTGGACTATGATCCGAGTTTCCTGGGTTCAAATCCTCACTCTATCACAAATCCTCACAAATCCATCGTATTCTCTCTTATCTTGCAGCTTAACCTATCTCACAGGGTTATGGTGAGGACAAAATGGAGTGGAAGAACCATGAGCTCCTTGGAAGAAGGGCAGGGTTAAAATGCACTAGACAGAGCTCAGAACAGGCTTTGGTGCTCTTCTCCTTGACATGTCAGTGGTGAAAAGGGAGATTTCTTTTCTGCCTTCCAGGTCTGAAAAGCTGCTTGGTTTCAGGCTTCCGAGGCAATGAAATCACGTACCTCAAGCCCCAGGCAGACTTGGAAACCCAGCCTGTCTTGTTCATCCCAAATGTCCATTTTCCAAACCTCCAGAGATGTGGAGCAGTAAGTCCCTTTTTATTGGCACTACCACAATGCTTTCAAAGTCCAGTCAAAGCCGTGAGAAGCTTGTTGTGCTATAGGAAGGCCTGGTCTCAGTGTTTTTATGTGAAATTTTTAAAGATTAAATTATGGTTTATTTAGGGAAGTGTTGCTATTGGGTGAGGAGGGTTTTTGGTAGAAGACATAAGTTATGGGAGTGTTCTGTGTAAGGAGTTAAACTGTCACTTTTGTATGGAAAAAAAATCCAATAGAGGAAAAACATAACAGCAGTGTTCCCTCTAAGGTGAGTTAACTGTGAGCTAGTTCACAGTTTTTTAGCCTCCAGCTCACACATTTGTGTCTTCGCTCAGGAAGGGTGGCTCCAGAGCAAACTAATTTATGCAGTAGCCAACTCGCTCGCTCACAACTTTAATGCCAGTAGCTCACAAAGTAGAATTTTTGCTCACAAGACTTCACAGGTTAGAGGGAGCATTGAGCAACAGCTGGGCATATGAGACAGACTGACAGAATGCATATATACTTCATGGACTTTAAGCAGGGTTTAATACTTATTTGCCCAGTTCCCTGGGGAAAGGAAATGTCATCCTATGTTGGAGAGGAAAAGGATTTGTGATAGAAAGTTTTAAGGAACCCTTGGACTAGAATTATTAGGGCTAGTCTGGTCTGAAAGCAAGCTGTGCTTGTAATGTAGCTGTTGTCTGACCAAAGATGTAGAGGGAACTCCTAAAAAGGAAAATGGAAGCTTTGAAGAGAAATTTAAAAGTGGGAATTCAGAGTGTCCTGTGAAGTCTGAGCAGACTTGGATTTAGAAGAGGACAGTGAATGAAGGTGGATGTGTGTTTGTAGGCCAGAGATTCTGGATGCACTCAAGATTAAATTGCAGAAATGTCCATTTACCTGTGAATCATAATGGCAAAACTAGTTGCTGTAATTTTTATTTTTAACAAAGAGATTTGTGTCTTTGATATACCTGTGGTGACCTTTTGGTTTTAAACAAATAAACATGATCTCCCCCCACACACACACTAGAAAGCATTGTATATACATAGGTCCTCTGCATGCTTTGTAACAATAGTTAGTTTGTGTAGAAATGGGGAATCAGCCAGAGATGTATAGGGCCTTGAAGAATAACCACGCAGTGTCTGAAACAGAGTGGGGGTGGGGGAGAGCATGGGACTCTTACTGAGGGTCCAGCTCTTTTGTCCCCACAGAGCAGGGCTTGTTTTCATGTTGAAGGACTCTTTCTTAAAGCTTCTCTCTCTCCTCAGCAGGTGTTACCTACCACTGGTGTTCCACATGACCCTACCAGGTATGGAAAGAGACATTTCATCTGGCTTGTCTGCCTAAAATCTTCTCATATCCCTTAGACCTTCTGGTCACTTCCTATTACCATGATGTATGCCTTTCCTCTGGAGAGCTCAAGGCACTGTGCACAGGGTTCCTGAGTGGTCGCCTGTTTTGGCACTGATCAAACCCAGATCTGCTTGGCTTCAGTAAGACTGGTATATCTGGTAGACCATGTCTGAGGCACAATTTGGGAAGAATCTTCTCAATGAGCCTAATTTAAGGGAACTGCATGGGAGTCCTGGCGTTATAGGACTCTCTCACAATTAGGCTGAGGTCAGGGAGATTCCCATAAACTCAGCCATGATGAATATACCAGTCCTTCTGTGTAGGAAGAGGCTGAGGAAGATTTTTAACAGAAGATGCCAGAGTGTAGCTATACTTAGCTGAACCACATGGCAAATGTTGTACACTATGAAGGGTGTCAGAGAGAGACCAGCAGACCTGATCCATGGGGCACAGTCCACTGGATGAATTTCTTCTTTATGGGCCCTGTTGAAATGAGTAGGCACAACTCATGATGCTTTAAATAAAGAGCACAACATTTGAGTCACTTTTTAATTGAGATATTTATACCCTCCTTTTCTCCCCAGTAGGGACTCGATGATTATGTGGATTAGATTTTCTGGAAAGTCATTGTACAAACGTTCTAAATAAATAAATAACTAAGCAGCTCACAACATTATTTTCCCCCTCCTCCATTTTATCCTCACAACAACCCTGTGAGGTGTGTTAGGGTTGAGAAAGAGTATTCTGACCAAGGTCATCCAGTGAGCGTCTATGGCAGAGTATAGATTTGAACTTATGATTGCCAGCACTGCCTTAGCAAATGTGGGAGACAATCCAGTGACTGAGGAGGGAGCCCTTTGGGGAGGTTGTCATGTCACATCCAGATGATGCTTTAGGAATTTCCCTAATCTGTGTGGTAAAGACCAGAGACATGGGGAAGTTCCTAGAGTATCAGTATGGAGGCCACTTCCTGTCCATTTTTTCTCTTGGCCCTCAGTTTCTTGACGGCAGGAGATTGGGGTAAGGACAGGGCAAATGGCAAGCCTCTAACCACTACACTGCCTTGAGTTCCTCTAATGTAGTAAGACAGCTAATAAATGTTTTAAATAATAATCGGCTGTCGTGGTAGGAGAACCTCTTGTATCTGAACATAGGTCTAGGGCAGAGTCCATCTATATATATAAAATAAAGTCCCCTCAATGTAAAATCAATGCCCAGGCCAAACCTCTAAAGCTAGAAACACGAAATTCAGGGAGAGCACTCCTACCATGATGTAGATGCTCACTAAGAAGGGATTTTTAGAAATCTGACCCCCTAAGGGGGTTCAAAGGGGTAAAATGTGCTCCCCCCATTGCTTCCTATGTGGCTGCCAGGCTGTTGCCTTCTTGTTCACCCCATTCTCTTATTGGTCAGGTGCAGAGCTCAGTGTTCTGAGGTTAAAAAAACAGTTACAGGAGACTGCAGAGAGCTAATGACAGCTGAGGAAATCAGGAATGGCCAACCACCCATGAGGTGCAGCAGTGCTGCTGGCCCAGCCTCCCCATGGCTTCAAATACACTCTCCCCACCTCCTACTCCTGACAAGCGGTTGTCTGTCAGGTGCAGCACTAGGTGCAGGGTGCTTAAAGCCATTAGGGAGTCTGCCTCAGCAGTAACGCCTTAGTGATCCTGCTGGCCCAGCCTCCACAATGGCTTGCAATACCCCTCCCCCTTCCCCTTCTACACTGGACAGGCAGCTGCATGTCAGGTGTAGGAGAGAGGATGGAATGCTTACAGCCATCAGTGAGGCTTGCTCAGGAGGATTGCCTTAGTGCTGCTGCTAGCCAAGCCTCACTGATACCTTTAAACACAATCCCCCCAGATACCAGGCAGGCGGGTGTCTGTCAGGTGTAGGAGCACGGCCAGGGTACATTAATCCATCAGAGAGGCTGCCGGAGCAGAAACACCTTAGCAACGCTGCTGGGCCAGCCTCCCCAGTGGCTTTAGATACACTCCCACCCACCCCTCCTCCACCTGACAGGCAGTTTTCTGTCAGGTGCAGAAGCAGGGGCAGAGCATTGAAAGCCATCAGGGAGACTGCCCAAGCAGCATCTCCTTAGCAATCCTGCTGGCCCAGCCTCTCCAATGCCTTCAGACACGCTGTCCCTCCTACACCTGACAGACAACTGCCTGTCAAGGGTTGGAAAGGGCGCAGAGTCCTTAAAGCCATCAAGGAGGCTTGCTTAACAGGATTTCCTTAGTGCTGCTGCTGGCCCAGCCTCCCTGATGCCTTTAAACACAATCCCTCCCCCTTTACACCAGACAGGCGGGTATTCGTCAGGTGTAGGAGCAGGGCCAGGGTACTTTAATCCATGAGGGAGGCTGCCCCAGCAGGATCACCTTAGCGATGCTGCTGGCCCAGCTTAGCCACACTCCCACCCACTATGGAAATATACCCCGAATTTGTAGAAAAGTGGTTTCCTGTATTAGGTTATAACTTCTCACACTGTGGGTTCTAGAAAATTGGTTCATATGAACTTGCTCAATATCTGATTGCTCAGATGTTGTTTTGAATATGTAGTTATGTCCCACTTCCTAAATGTAAAGCCAACAGTCGTGATAGTCAGACTATCACGACTGTTGGCTTTATATTTGTTTATCTGTTTTAGTCGTGTGTGTCCAGATTTTTTTGCCACTTCCTAAATGTAACATAAATGAGAAGCATTTTTGTAAAATATAAATAAAGGTATGCCCTGCACCCCCCCAAAAAAGAAATCCAATGCCCAGACCAAATCCCTGCACCAAGAAACCCAAAATAAGAGGAGTGCATTCTTACCATGACGTCAACCTCCACTATGAAGAGACTTCTGAGTAACACGACCCCTAAGGGGGTAAAAAAGGGGCAAAATATGTTTCCCACAGTTGTTTTTCATGTGCCTGGCAGGCTGCTGCCTCCTTGCCCCCCCCCCCATTGGTCAACTGTATAGTTCAGAGTTCTGAGGTAAAACCTGCCTGCTTGCACCTACTTCTCTCTGATTGCTCAGCTGTGGATCTCAGTGTTCTGAGGTAAAAACACAGTTAGAAGAGAATGCAGACAGTTGAGGACAGTTACAGAAATCAAGCGATTTCAAGACTCCTGAATAGACATTTCTCATAACAGCCAGCATGGCAATTGAGTTTATGAATGTTCATGGGGAGATAGTAAAGGACTTTCCTAGGAGCCTGCTCCAGAGTGAGCTCACCAAGCAGCCTGATGATCCTAGCACCTGAGGGCAGAACCACCACCCCTGTGGTCTACAGAGAGGTCCTTCAGTAGAGGGGGGGGTGTGGAAACCCAGTACATATGTCTCACTTCATCCTTTACACTACAATCTTCCTACAACAAATGTTACCTTTCAAACTTCACATCATCAGTATTATAACTGGATTTACGGAACTTGAATACCGTAGTGAAGCACAGGCTAGTGCTTTATAACCAGAAAGCCCTTGATTCAGTCCCTGGCACAGCAGCTGGAAAGGTAACAAGCTGGGAAAAGATCTTCCTCTACTGGAGATCTGTTGCCAGTCAGAGCAGACAATGGTCCGCTAGTTAGACCAGTGGTTTGACTCCATGTAAAGAAGCTTCATTTTTTCATAGGTTCAGTGTTGGAGCCCGTCTGGACTTCTTCTGACCATCTGTTTTTCCTTGCATAGGTTACCCTTGAAGCGGAGCTGCCCTTCGTTCACAGACGAATTTGATCCTTTAGCTTCAAAACAAGCAAAGGAAGAAGACCCTCAGCGAGGTAATATTGGTGCTGGAGCTTCCTTTCCCCATCTTCTCCAATTAACTCGTCATTAGGCAAGGGTTTCCTGCTGGTTTGGGGGGTTACAGGCAATGTTCCCTCTAAGCTGGGGGGTCCTGTGAGCAAAAATTCTACTTTCTGAGCGATCGGCATTAAAGTTGTGAGCAGGTGACTTAGCTGCTGCATAAATTAGTTTGCTCTGGTGCCATCCTTTCTGAGCTAAGACAAAAATGTGTGAGCCAAAAGCTAAAAAACTGTGAGCACACGAGGGAACACTGGTTACAGGTAAATGAGAAGTTCAGTGAGCTTATGGGAAATAAGTGGGTAAGCTTGGCTCAGAGACCCAAGTGAAGGCCAAAAGTGAGGGGAGGGGACTTGAGGCACGTGAGGAGAGAAAACGGCAGGATCAGTTAGAACTTGCTGATGCCCCTCAGTGTGCTCTGCTTTCAGGGAGGTCTTCATTTTTAATGCTTGCAGTCTCTTCCATCTTTCAGTCTTGCTCTATGTGCGGAGAGAATCGGAGGAGGTTTTTGATGCTCTCATGCTGAAGACGCCAGATCTGAAAGGTCTGAGGAATGCTGTAAGTTACCCCACTCTTAACTTCTGCCTCATAATGCTTATAGTGCTGCTGTGGTAAACACGTTAAGAGAGGGATGGATGACTGGCAGTTCCGGAAGCTGAAGCCAGTTCTGGCTTCCCAGGCAGTTTCCTCTAACCCCAGTGCACTTACCAGCATTTCATTAA